TTTGTTTTTTTCCTTTTTAATTTAGACCAGCAACGTCTTTTGCATGGGAGGGGCATCGGCAAGGAAGTAGCTCTGCTGCATGCCATTACCACCTTTCTGAGGCCGGGGGAGGCACTTTTAGCTGAGTTCTGCCTCTCTGCTAATGGGCACCCTCTCTGCTGCTGGTGGCTGCCATCTGTGGCAAACGCTGCAGAGCACGTAGTCAATCACTGCGGGATGCAGTTCTGTGGTGCAACAGCTCTCTAGGGACTGATTTAGGGCCACTACACTAAGGCCAGTTGGAGCTAATTGGATTTTTCAGCCCCCAGCCTGGGTCTCCAGATGTGACAGGGCAGCATAGCTTTATTAACCTAACTGTGATCATCCATGCTCCTTGTTACAGAGAAAGAGATTTTGGGGTTTTTTTTGCCTTGGTGTTGAATCACAGCATAGTGGGGGTTGTTTCCTGCCAGCTCCTGAACAAGAGCCAAGTGGCATTCCTTGCCTGCTGGAATTTTACAGCACACACTGAGCAGGGGTGCCACCCTGCTGAATGCTAGCAATTTTTATTTCAGTGAGCACTTCTTGTTATCTCCACCAATACATGAGTAATTTTTCAGTGGACTAGGAAAACCAGGAAAAAGAAAAATCCCTGGCAACATTCTTCCATGACCCATTCAGGTGGCTAAAGCTTTTACAAATGTCCCCCCACAGCTAAGAGGACACACTGGCAAATAGCCCGTGTGCAGAAGAATGGAGATGGTGTTTTGCTGGGTCACTCCAGCAAGGGTGTGCAGGCCTCTGCCAGAGAACTGCCACCACCCTGCTCTTCCCTGCCCAGGCTCCATCTTGGTGCCAGCTTTGGTGCTCTCTGGGTCCTCCCCACAGCCACATCACCATTCCAACTGGATGGAAACGCAGAGCTGTGTCCTGTTAGTGTTTTGCCCCAAGACCAGCTGGGCTGTGAGGGAGGAGAAATGGGCCTACCTTGCTGGGAAGATGTTTGATCACTGCAGAGCAGCAGCCCCGTCCATCTGCCAGCACCACTCACCAGCCACATGTTCTTTATCACAGTGCCTTTCTGGAAGAGATGAGAAACAAAGGCCCAAGGAGAGCTTAGATAACCTGCTAGAAGTCATAATGTAACAAACCCAGCTTTTCTGACAAGTTTTGCTTGTGACTGTTGTACCAAACTATCAAAAAAATTACTTGTGTGCTATATTTGTTGGATAATCCTGTGCTTTAGATAATGGAAGCTTGGTCCCTTATGCAGTGTGACCCACTTCTAGGGCAAAGGAATGTGTTTCAGAAAACAGAAATAATGTTCTGCTATGGCTGTTGATCCTTCACCTTCTGCACTTGTTCCCTGAGGATCTCCACAAGAATAAGAGTTCTATTTTTATCTGTCTTACAGATCTTTAAGAGAGGCTGAAGGTTCCCTAGTACTGTGTACAATGCAATACAACTCCAGAGCCAGAGTGGAGAACATCCTTCAGATCAGCATGGCAAATCTGCATTTTTCACAGTCCAGGCTAGGGTAGTGGTGGCTCCTTCCAATACAAGTAGCTCCAACAGGATCCTTAGAAGAATGTTCAAAAGGACACTCCATTCACCTTCACTCATGGCAAAGACTTGAGGAAATGTGGCTCTGGAGCAAGAAAGACCACATGCAATTTCATCTGCATAAATGTCAGAGGCTTCACTCTCTTGGTGATCCTGGATATACTTGCTCATGTCTGGTCACTCCTTTCTCCTCACTTCACACTTAACCTCCCTCCTTTTTTTTTTTTTTTTTAATTTTTACCCCATCTGCCAGCAACAGGGCAAAAATTCTTTTGTATGGAGAGCAGCTGCTGCATCCCTACCACCAACCCATCACCCACAGTGATGGATCTTTTCCATCCTAAATGATTCCATGATATTATACAGCTCTTCTTTCACTAGCAACAGAAGGAATAGTGCTGGAATAGTGGCTCTCCCCACAAACTTCCTACCTGCCCTCCCAGACAGTTTCCCTGTGAAGCATCATCCCTAACATCCTGCACTTGGCTTGCCTACAGGCTGCTGCTCTTTAACTGGAAGACAGGCTTCTGGCATTCCTGGGCAGTGAATTACAGTCATGTTGGCAGCTGCCCTCTGCCCCTGTCTATTGCAATACCTCAAGATGATGCCAGCAGGCCCTGGGCTGCATTAGGAGGAGGGTCACCAGCAGGTCGAGGGAGGTGATTATTCCCATTCAGTTCAGCACTAGTAGACAGACACGTGAGAGGTTCTGGGCCCAGTTCTCAGCTCCCCAGTACAACACAGACTGGAACTTGCTGCAGCAAGTCAGCGAAGGACCATGAAGATGATGAAATTATGAGATGTTGAGAGAGCTGGGATTGTTCAACCTGGAAAAGAAAAAGCTCAGGGGGATCTTGTAGGGGGATAGAATATAAGGAAATAAAGGTAGTATAGCAAGTAATCTTACCCCAAGGAGTTGCAGCTGAGCCAATTACTAGTGATTAGGAACAGGCCTGACTTTAACAGGTCACAGCTGTAAGCAATGAGAACAAGAGTGCTATAAAAGAGTGGGGTGGCTGGTTGAGAGGGGAATTGGTTGGCTGTTGTGAGAAGAAGGAAGAGGCAGTGTTCTGAGGCGCTGCCTATGAGAAACATCAAGGAGGTAGGAACCTCTTGCACTAAGGACACAGCAATATGGAACCTTTGCAATAGAATGACAACAGGATCTGACCCTTGTGCATGAATACTCAGTGGGGTGACTAAAGAAGATGAAGCCAGACTCTAAGTGGTATCCAGTTAAAGGACAAGAGGCAATTGGCAGAAATGGAAATACAAGAAATACAATTTCAACATTAACTGCCCCTTGCCCCTCCTCCACTTCTCTACTAAAAGGGTGAGCACCCAGACAGGCTGTGGAGTCTCCATCCTTGGAAACAGTCAAAATCTGACTGTACCCACTCCTGAGCAACCTGCACTAGCTGACTCTGCTCTGACTAGGTGTCAGACTAGACAATTCTCTGAGGCACCTTCCTCCCAGCCTTAACTGTTCTGTGATCCTATTTGCTGATTCTCATGTCTTGCAGTCAATCCCACTATCCTTATCCTTAACCATCTTGATGAAGTGTTGTTTGGCATTCCTGGGTGAAGGAGCAAATTAGCTCTTCTGCAGCAGATACTCAGAGACACCTGACCAGCAGTCAAAGGCACAGATGATATGGGGAGTAGATGAGAAAAAAGATCTTTCCACAAAAGGTACTAATTCCAGACAAGGGGATTCATCCCATCTAACTCTGGACATTTGCAGTGTCACCATTTATGTCTGAGTAGTGTAGCCAAACTCCCTTTGGAGTCAACACAGAGAAACAGTCATTTCTAGAGAGTGACTCATGTGAACTATTTCACATGAGATGAAACATGGCCAAGAGCTGCCCTTCTTTCTTTGCTGACTACTGTGCGTACACTGAGGAGTGAAGAGGTCAAGATTGGACTTCTATACTGTAGATATCTTACAACATTTAGGATGAGTCCCACCTCTGATACTTGTGCAGAAGTCTATTGTTGCCTAGAGTAAATTTTTACACACCATAAAATGCAGTCAAATTTGATTAATGTCTCTTTGCCTACAAAGAGGACTAAACAAACAGACAACTGATAAAGACAGGCAAACCCCAGAGCACTGCAGATTAAAGGTTCATACAAGTGATCTAGGGGCTGGATGGAATTCTATTGTCTTATTCCAAGACTGAGTACTTTAGGGGTGCAGGTCAAGAGCACTTTGAGTAATGGGACTCCAACTAATACGCTGGACCAAAGTCAAGGGCCGTAAACCCAACCCTACAGATTCCTTGTGTAGCTGGGCTCCTTGGAGTCCAGGGCAGTCTAGAGAACTGTTTACTTGATCAGTCCATGCTATTGTTTCTGGGATGGACAGAAGAAGGCTGTGGACAAGATGGCTTGGCAATGTCTTGGATCATTCTTTGCAATTTTTGCAGATTTCTTTGCATACATCCATCCATAGGATCTTCCAGGGCAGATCTTCACCTCATCACAATGTTGATTGAACTTTCTTAGTCGTGAACTATCCTTGGCCTGCAATGACAAGCAGCAAGGAGGTAATGTGTGTCCTTGGCAGTGACAGGCCCTAAGCTGGGTCAAAGGCTCGAAGGGCATTGCAACAAGACACAACCTGTCTTGTTTTTTCTTTTGAAATATGATGAGGCAGCACAGCATAAAACTGTTTTCTCTTTTTGCACTGTCTGGCACACATCTGGACAGCATCTAGACAGAAGACTGATCAGACTTGGCAGAGGTGGTTTGGCTGTGCAGCATGATGCCCCCATGCACTATAGGAAGCCAGACTGCATTGACATGCTGTGGTGATGCTGGGGTGCAGTGTGGTCCTCAGTGCCTCAGCCAGCCAGTCTAGGAGCTTGACCCTAATGCTGCACCAAGGGCTCTGGGAAAAGGCAGTATAGCTCCAGATTGCATCAGGGAAGTGATCTTTGGGCAAGATGCTTAGCCCCAGGATTTCTCAAGGGAAGCCACAACTTCTAGAGAGCTGCATCATTTTGGAATGTTAACATTGTAGAAAAAGAAAGGATTGAGAAAGAGTAAATAAAGCCAACTGCCAAGAAAAATAACACGCAAAGTGTGAATGAAAATAGTTCATCTCAAATTAAGTACTTCAAATCCCAAGTTAAATTCCTGATATAAAAGAACTTGTGACCTCAAATTTCTCAGAACTTTGATAAAGACAATAATATGTGGGGTTTTTTTCTGAAGTGCTTAGAGATGTCAGACAACTATATAAGATTTAAGTGTTATTAAGTGTAGATATTAGCTGCTGTCCTGTAAAATGCAGTATGCAAACATGCTGGAAACTGTTGTAGGATGCAGGGAAAAGGTTGATATTTAAATATAATTTTACACCTTGGCAGTGTAAAATTTCATCATCAAAAAAGTCATAAAATGTTTCTGTCTTATGTTATTTTGGTGGTGAGAGAAAAGTGACTAACTATAACAAAATGCTTGAAATACCTGGTGCTAAGGTTAGTGGCCCTTATTTAAAACTCATTAACTTCGCTCATTTTGTACTGCCTTTTCAATAGTATGAAAATACATTTTTTTTCATCCAGCTCAGCCCAGTGAACAGCGAGACAGGACCTTTTTTTCTCTGCTGCACAGGTGTCCATCTCAGTGGAGATGCATGATCTCCACCTCTTCTTGCAGTGCTGTGATTCCATGTAGGTCAAGAACGGTCCAGCTCCAGAGGTTTTCACCCTCAGTCTTCTCAAAATTCATGTGCAAGAGAAAACTATTTTGGTGAACTTACATTCATCCTCAGTGAGCTGACCTTCAGATCCCAACATCCGTGTACAGACAGCTTTTCTTTCCTGGAGGAAATCAAGGGCTTGATCAGGCAGGGCTTGAGTACATCTGGCAGTGTTCTGGGGAACTCTGCAAAACTTCTTGCCAAGTACTCAGGATCTGATCTGGGGGAACGCCCTTATTCAGAAGTGCACATTTGCATGCCACCCTACCACCTTTAGTACTTGGGCTGTCTCCTGCACTGGGACCTCCTCCTGTGGTGTGTGCCTTCATCTCATCATTTCTCCTATGTATTTACACCTAGTTCAAATAACAGCTCCAGGATGGGCTTGTGAGAGGAGGGAACAAAATGATCAAAGCAACAGAAAAAGTTTTCAAAGTAGTGTTGAGAAATCATGTGCTGTTTTTCTTTTCTTCATATAAATTTCCCTGCTTTTTCCATTTCTTGGCTAATTGAGCCAAATCATCTATTCACCACAGTCGAACAACATCCTTGTTTCTGATGATGACTGTGTATAGTAAAAACAGCAGCCTTAAATGGGAGAAGTTGGTCATCAGAGCTTCCAGGCAGTTTCAGAAGAGCTACCCTAATTTACAGCAGTTAAATATCTGTCCCCTTGACTTCACTTTGCTACTTAAATGGGTAAATAGTTTCCAAAGCATGCATGACTGCATCAAAAATCTTAAAAACTGGCATTGCATGAAAAAGCATTGCCTGGCTACAAGGGATTCATCACACCAGCATGAGAT